CAGAGTCAGCACTCCATACTTGGTGAACAGATTGGGTCTGCCTCTCCAATTTACTGGAGGACATGATGATGGACTCATTTCTGTGATTCACAAATATGGCACTCAATAACTATGGCTTGAGGGGTAAATTAAAAGAGTGAGAAATCTTGTACTCTCCTTCCCTTGCAATGGGTGGAGAGGAAGTTTTGCCTGAAATGACAGCCCAGCCATCACTTCTATCACACTCCACACTTCTGCCAAGATTAGAGCTGTGGGAAAGATCTTGAACAACCAGACTCCATGGTGACCTGGTCATTAATTGCACTGAGCACGGGCCTGGCGCAAGTGCAGGTGACCAGAGAGCAGGCTGGGCAAGGAAATAACCTGACTCATGCATCAATTAATCCATGCACAAAAATGCCCACGTGAGCACCATATGGAGGACTGATATGGGGGTAATTTTTAAGAAGTTAAGATGTGTGATACAAGGACCAACTCCCCACTTAAAGCTGTTTGTTGTATTCCTGAATTGTTAGAAATATCACTTTCACCAACTTCTTTTTCTCCCCACTTTCTAAATGAATTATATTTACACTGAGGACTGTTATTTGTCAGTCAGATTCAGCATTCCATCAAAATAAAACAAACCCCCCAATTTTGCTCTAAAGCCTTCACTCTATCATTTTGCCGGGTAACATATAAAAACATTAATTTTGTGTAGGAAAAGTCTCCCCTTGCAATGTGATCCCAAAAGAGAAAAAGGAAAATGTAAAATACCTACAGAGTATTGTATTGAAAGACAGCTCTGCTAGAAACCATGGCAACTCGGGCAGTAGATGAGAGCTGTATCCTTCTGCCTGGATTGCTGCTGCATATTTATCCATGCAGTATATCTTGATTTGGGGTTTGACAAACAGATTTGGTTTATGGATGCAGAAGAGGAGGGAAGAGGTGAGTGAATGGCCTTGTTGTGCGTTCATAAAATGCTTATCATCCTTCGAAACCCACTGCCCTAAGAACAGCAACCAGGAGCAAACCTACACCAAAGGCACCACCTCTGCTGCTTCCCATCTCTGCCACGTTCCAGTCCCGCACAGGTCACCTCCCTGGGGCAGCATGTCCGTGCTTCAGTGACCCTGAGGCCAGGCCAGGCCAGGGACTGGGGTTTGGGTTTCAGCTCACCTCAGTCAGCAGCTACAACAGGCCAGATGAACTGCTCCAAGGACCCAAGGAGACAGGACTGAGTGCCTGAGCAACAGACACCTGGATGGCAGGCCCCTAAAATGAGGTGAGTTTTGGCTTCACCAAGCCAGAGGTGAAACACCTGAGGTGAAGATCTAAAATGCTTCATTTTGCTACGGTCCCATGGATGCTGGGACACCTCCATGCAGCACAAAGAGCCTCTGTCCTCAGCCACCACCACCAGCACACACAGCGGTGGTTGGTCCAGTGCCAACCTGAGACACAGAAGCCAAAACTGGGATACTCATACACTCATACAGCACTGAGAGTACCTTTATCTCACCTTAGCTTTCCTTAACCAGGAAAGAAAACCTGTGAATTTCCTTCAAAACCCTGTGTGTGGGGTAGAGGAGCAGCCTGGAGAGATTCACTTCATCCAGCCTTGTCAGTACTGGAAAGATCTCCTGGGGAACCCATCGTCCTGAGATTCCTCACAACTCAGCTGGAAGAGATGCTTCCCAGGCACTTCTCATTTGACCTAATGTAGCCTTTTAGCTCAGGATGAAATTAATCACTCTAATTTCTCTCCTCTGACTATAAAGCAAGTCTAGACAAGTAACTCAGATGTATACACTTAAATCTGGATAAAGTAATTTCACTTCTGGGGTCCATATCTGACTACAGCTCTCTTACTGCCTTGCCAGGGCAAATAATTTCTGTCTTGCTCACAGCCCCTTCAGCAGCAGCACAAGGATAAAAAAATTTATTAGTGTTGTAAAAACATGGAAAATAATTGCATAGAAGTTTCTGATTAAGTCTGGGCAGAAAAAAGCTCTGCATTAGAGCAGAATTTAGGTTTAGAAATACAAGTGTAGGAGGAATGTGTAGTAAGAACTATTTTCTCAGAGCACCAGTCACAAAGGATTGAGTCTTTCCCTAAATGTTTTGTATTATTTGCCAAGGAAGCCACTTGGTTGATGTGCTGGCCTGACAGGCTGGGGAGGTTGTTACTGCAATGCTGGTGAAGTGCTCTGACAAATGCCTCACTAGAGCCTTGTGTTAAAAAATGGAGGGGCTGGGAGGGGTTCCTCTCTGGGGAGAGCAGCAGTGAGAATGCGACCCTTCAGAGCCAATTAGCCTTTGCTTTGGACAGCAAACACGTGGCAAGGGTTCAAAGAAGAGGGTCAGCATCTCAACGGGCTAACCAAAGCCCCGGAGGGTGGAGATCTGCCGTTTTTCTTAAAAGCATAGAAAAATGTGGTAATTCCTGGATACTGTGTTCCTCCTCTCTTTTCCACGCTTCTTGGAACATAAGAACTCGCTCTCACTAATGAAATCAGGAAGATTATCCCAGCTGCAGTGATGGGATATGAGTGAACACAAGGCCCATTATACCAATTTCCTTCATAATGGTCTCACACCTGGACACTCTGTCAGGGTCAGTCAATTAAAAGCAGCTTCACAAACCCACATTTCCTTTCAAAGATCTTCTTGCAGGGCAAAATATCAGCCTCAGCAACCTTACTCTTCACCGTACTGCCACTGTACTGACAGGGTACAGTCAAACTGCTCAATGCATGACAATCCTGAGGACTGCTCTGTACAGTTGTTGTGTCTTCTCAATTCCCAAGTGAGCAGAAGGAAATCCATCTGGCTGTGAACAAGCCAGATGCAAATTTTAACAGGCTACTGCTGTGAGTTCTGTCAGTGGCCAGCTCTGCTTCTCTTCCAAGAAGTAAAATGAAAAATCATGACTTATCTTAATTGTTGCTCAGGGTTTCCCATGCTCTGAGCTCAGTATCAGCTGGACAGAAGGATTTTGTGCAGCGTTGTAGCCCAGGGATCCCTCTCTATTAATAATCTCTGGATTGCATTTGGTTTCATTAGTTACCATCAGGGCATAATGCAATTAGTGCACATTATACATCAGAGATATATATTAATCCTCCAGTATGCATGGGCTCATGCCCGTGGTAGTAAGAGTCTGTTGATGGGACTTCTTTTTGCCTGTGGGAAGGAGCTAAGCCAGGTCAGCTCTGTGGAGATACCCAGCTTGCACAGAGCATGAGTGGTCCCCATAGAGTCACCATGAATTTCCTCACATTAATGGCATATATGAGATGGAAAGTGATATCTGAAAATCTCCTAAATAGTCTTGAGGGCAGCATAATGTGTTTGATGCTCAGGAAAGACAGCACCAAACCCAAATGTTGAGAAAAAATCTTTCTGGTGACTTGTTGAGTGAACACAGTCTGATATGTGCCTTCGTGTTGATGACACGCTTTGTTTCAGTGCAAAAACATCTAAAATGCAGCACATCTGAATTTCCTCCTGAACCTGGTATTCTGAGAGTGCCCTTTCCCACCACTGTGAGGATGAAGGGAATTTCTGGACCCACAGTCCCCAGGTTACTGAGCTATAGGCACTGCTACCACCCACAGCACCCAACACATGCTCACCCACCAGGGAAGCATCCCACACCCAGATTCTATTTTCATGGTAGTGATGGAAAGCAGTGATTCTTCTGAGTTGCTCTTGTTAGGAATCATTCTGGCAGGTGCTGTGTGATCTCCTAATTGCCAGGAGTACTGGCTGCTGTCCCGTCACCCAGCTCACAGCAAGCTATCTTGCAGCCAGGCCACACAAAACCAGTAGCACCAGGTGACTGGGAGTGACTGGGATGGAGGAAGCTCTCAGCTCCATTGGAGCAAGCACTGCACAGATACTGCAAACAGGGCAGAACAGCATTACGTGGTGGCAAGCACTCAGTGACTTCGAAGTAAGGATATTAAATAGTCTTTGTTTGATCTGAAGGCACCTGCTGCTGTGAGATGCTTTACCAAGGGCTCACTCAACAGGAATATTTTCAGAACCCACTGAAAACAAGAAGATGCCCATTGGGAGAAGCTATTTCATATTTTTCTACTGCAGCCTTATTTACCTTGGAATTTAAAGTGGTAAATTACTCTGACACCACTCACAGCCACAGCTGCCTTGATCAGCCAGGTGCTTTCCAGCTCCAGCAGATACCATGAGATTGTCTTCAGACTGACCACTGGGTCACTGACACATCCTTGAATCTGAGTGCTTCCCTGATGATTATAATAATATTTTGAGAAATGGGCAGAAAAATTGAGCAAAACTTATGAAAGTAAACGATGAGAATTACAGTCAGATGGTCTGTTTCCACTTGTCACTAGAAACAAAAAGTCATGTTGGTAGAGATCATAGGGCTTAGAGAATATAAATCTAACCATGATTAAATTCTGTTCCCTGTGAGTTAAACCAGGAACTCAGCTGCTGTCAGGATAGAGATTACAGATGCATTTACAGTCTGAAATCACTAAAGAACAATTCTGCTCTTTATTTTGTTTTCAAAAAAACCTTTAGTAGAACTACAAGGAGCACAACTTGAAAAATAAGCAACTACAAAAGATGTATCCACACTACTCATCTTTCCACTTTTTACCTTCTACTTCCTGTGCTTTTGATACCTTTGGAGAAATGGATTCTCCAGGACTGAGTTGGAAGGAGTAACCTGTCCCTGGTGACAACTGAGCTGGGCAGCCTGAGGCCTTCTGAGAAAAGCTCATCTCATTCTAAAGATGACTGTTAGGTTTGCCAAGTCAGGTGTGTGCCCAGGGGTGCTTGTTTCCTTCCATGAACAACATAAAGACCTCAGGTGATCAGGACAGAATGCAGAGACCTACAGTGTACACAGAGCAAACTCTGTGTACAGAGCAACTGCAGCCATGTGCAACCTCATAAAAGAAGATGATTCAGGTAGCAGTGTAGAGTAACACACTGGTAAACTCTGATTTCTCAGAGCATTTTCTTACCTTGGATCACAAAGAAACTTGGTTTTTTCACCTTCTTCTCTCCAAATAAGCCATTCTCGGAAAGAGGGATGAACAAACATTCGCGTCATGTCTCTACGTTTGATAAGAAACATAGAAAGGTTCTCCATCCTCTGCTGAAAGTCCTCCCACTCCAAAGTGCCCTCAATGTTACCTGCATTAATGGCCTGAAAAATATGTTCATCTGTTAATGGGTGCAGAGAAGCCACTGCTACGTTCAAGAGAGGCATGACACGATCAAAGGAAGACTGTGTTGGGAACTTCATATTGCACTGCAACAGGTACACTTCGGACAGGGACACTGGGACCACTTTGTAGCTGGAGCTTTTTAGAACTAGGTATCCTTTCTCTATGAGATCAAAAGTAAGTTTCAGGTATAGGTAGGACCCTTGGCTCAAGGTCTTGAGGTGAGAACTGAGTTTGCCAAACGTAGTGTTGTCCATTTTGCCGTTGAGAGAGATGTTGTTCTGGATCTCCGAGCTGCTGTGTATCCGGTGAAGGATGTATGCCTGCAGGTCCTGGTCAATGGCTTCGTTCTCTTCCAGTCTATCCAAAAATATTCTGTGGAAGGGCAACAGCTTTATTATTTCCTACAAAGAAAGAAAGAAAAAAAGATACTAATGCCAGCAGTGTTTACTATTCATTAAATAAACTTCGTTTCTATTACAATAGCACCTTTGAGACTCCTTTAAGACTTTCCATCAGGGCAAGAACACAAACAGCAGTTTGTACCCTCAGGGCCTCACACTCCCATCTATAATCAAACAAGTTGTGTGTGACACATGACTGATATAAAAACAACAGAGACTTTCTAACATGGAAAGGGCTGGAAAATTCACATGGAAAAACCCATGGAAAGGGCTGGTAAATTCACACAGAGTAGTGCCCTTGTTATTCCTCTCTCTCCCAACCACGAATTGACCTCCCATTCCTTCTGCTGTCCAGGGCATCCAGGTAACAGATCTGACACCACAGGAAACTTTCTGAAGCTGAAACTTTCTGAGACCAAGAACCTCCCTGGGGACATCCTTCTGCATTCTGTACCCACAGATGCACAGAAGCATGACAGATGATAATGAGTAGTTTCCAGTGCAAAGCAACTGTGTCTGCTGCAGGACACTGTGCTCAGGGAATGCTCATCTACTGAACTTCCTGGTTCAACATAAACCAAAGATCACCAAAGGCCTCTCCAAAGAAATTCTTGCCTCACGCGCTCTCCCCCGCTGTGAGGAAAAGCAAAGTGAAGCAACAGATCTGTACAAGGCCAATTCCAGGAAAGCCATAAGATCTCCAACAAAACAGAGAGGGAGAGCACAGTGTGAACTCAAGTGGCAGTGAAGACTTTATGGATGCAAAAGCCCTAATGAAATGAGGAATTCAAGTAATCAGGATCCAATTTACTTAAAATTACAAAAAGATTTCTTCCAAATGCTATTTCATTTACTCCATTACTGAGCAAAAAAATGGACCTCAGCACTGAACGGCAAATAGTCTGTGCTCTCCTGGATTTTGGGAAGCAGCTGCCATTCCCACTGACAGCAACTATGTGGAGGCTGGCTGCCCTGGTGGGGCTGGAACCAGACTCAGCTCCCTGCTGAACCTGCTCACAACAGTCTTGAGCTGAGTAACATCTTGGCCTAATCAGACTGAAATCATCATGCTCTGGGTCACACTGAAAGGGATGAAGATCCGAATTCCTCTGCCCTTTCACGTGGAGCTGAGGATGTTCTTTAGCTGCACAGGCTGCCAGACACCAGGCCCTACCTTCCTAATGGCTCCATGACTCGGGCCCTACTGGAGTGTGAACAGTCTCACAAAATGATCTGAGCTATCTGCTGATGAACATTTATTTACATGAATAAGCGATGATGGATTAGATCCTTCCAAATCTGTAGAGTGAGCCTAGGGGTATGGATGTAAATCCCAAGAATAAAAAGCCAAAAGGATAACCTGAAATAAATGGTCTTGAGCAAATGCCGAACATCTAGTAAATCTTCTTTACCAAAGTCCATAATGACAATGACACAGTTTATCCCTTTATCCCTGTTTTGGGTCTCAACATACCTGTAGACTTGTCCTGACTGTCACTACCAGCTTCAGCCAGGAAGGGAATTTTCCAATCATTTTGCTCAGGAATGATACTATGGTGTCTCCATAATCTGGCTTGTGAAACTCAGCTTCATTTAAACCATCAATTAATATAATGAAATCTTCATCAGGGATCTTCCTCTCTGAGAGAAAGAGAAAAAGCATTTATTTGATAGACTATAGAGAATATAGACACACAACCATAATGTACTGCAACGTTACTACAGAGCTTTAAACCATGACCAGATATTGCCAAAGAAGAAAATACCTACTGCAGCAGCACTTTTTTAATGATACATTAATTGCATATTGACCTTTACAGGTCATCTCATTCCACCCTCCAGCTGGAGATAGGACCATCCTATTGTTGTTCCAACCTGGCCTTAAAATCCTACCAGAAGTAAATAATGGACTGTTTACACAGGATTTTTTTGCTGCTGGAGAATACAGTAACCCAGGTGATGCTGACCATGCAGCCATTTTTTTCTATGTCAGACACGGAGAGCTGAGTATGGCTTTACAACTAATGGTAGAGATACCTTTGGACTTGTACCTTAAGCTCAAGGCATATCTTCTCAATGGCAATTTTGCCTAATAAGACTCAAAACCAGGTGTAAAATGTGAAATCTGAGTCTACTGATGGCATATGCTATTCATATGTACTACAAGTCCTGATCTGTGAAGAACTACAGATGAACTCCTGCTATCAAAAAGGTCAATGTTTCCAGCAGCAGTTGAGTTTTTCTCTTTGACTTTTAATTGAACCAGAAACTTTTCTGCAAAATCTCAGCACAAAATGTTCATTGACGATGAGATCCTGTGGTCCCTGTGGTATTCCAGGGAGAACAGATGTGTGAAAACACCGTGTTTTTGGGGCTGCTGAGCATCTTGTCCTTGCCTTATATCAACTGCACTGTAAACATACACATGAAAAATACTAATTTTAGCATTTTGCACTAAAATTACCATAGCTGCTTTTTCAGTTAACTTCTCAGTAAGATTTTTGGGTACACTAGAAAATATACTTTATTACTCTCTGAAATCCTGAAGCAAATGTAGTGCCTGAATTTTATACCCACATCTCATGCTCCTGATAAAGCCTAAGGGAGAGAGGAGAAATCAGGAGTAGGGGAACAATCAGAACATGTTCTCCTATATGTTATTTAGATTCTTTGACATTAAATATATATATATATGTGTGTCTTTGAGAAACATGAATCTTTCTCAGTGACATTCACCATTAGCACCTGTGCAATAGTTTTGTTGTCCCAGTAGCACTAAAGCTTCAACAGCACCTTGTAAAGGATCTGCTGAAATATTTATATAGTCTTAAATATTATATATTTTAGAACCAATTTCCAGATACTGTTTATCGTGTTAGAGAACACTTGGTGCAAATTAGCTTGCCAGCACTCTCAATCAGCAGGTTTGAAAAGTGGGAGTCTTGGTCAGTGGCTCCACTGGAGCTGTGCTGAGTGCAGAGGCCAAAAGGAAAGGAAAAAAAAATATTTCAGATAAATTTTTTCCATCTCTCAGAATTTAGGGCCAGATGGGGGTCAACCTCCTTGACAAGAAAAATAAGAATCCTCCAAAACACTCTGAAATCAAGAGCTGAAACATCTCCCAAAGAGCTAATGTAATAACCAAGAATTATTTTTCTCTAGAGCAATGGTTCCTACATGTACCCTTTTTCTTTTTATTTTTGCCAAGAGTGGTGACAGGAAAGAGCAACCACACTCCTTCCACAGTGACATTTCTCCGTGCCAGGAAAACCAACCACTGTCATGCTGGGCTGGCTCTACTTATGTTTTGTGCCTGGTGGAACAGGGCAGGCTGGACCCTGATGCTGCTGCATCACAGTTTTGAAGAGCTGATTTGAACATCAGGGCTTTGAATCTGGCAAAAGTTGCATCTACTTCATGTTGGATCTTACACTGTAGTGTGTAGGGTGGTAACAAAATTAACTGAACTATTTTTGCAGCCAAGATGCAGCACAGGCACAGTAATAAACATGATTCTGCAGGACAACAGTCTTGAACTCTGCAATGCTCTGACAGTTTTCATGGCAACAAGCAAAGATCTTAAATTTAGCGACTGTCACAATGAATTACTTATAACTTGCAGAGGGGAGAAAGAAAAGAAGACAAAATCAATGCCGTTAGAAAAAGCTTTAAGTCTGTTATCAGGATAACGCTTGTCATCAGCTCCCCCAGAGGCTTTACACAGGGTGTCTATGGACTTTCATGATACCAGTCCTTTGGTGAAAGCTTCAGAATCTCCAAAATCCACTAAACAGTGACAGGGAAAGGGAAAAAAAGTCACCCCTACACAAATAAATCACAACATTTTGCTGCAAACAGTCCTATGAATGGAACTGGTTCCTTGTTTTCACCTTGAGAACTGCAAGGACAGGTTTGGGATATGAAAGAAGCAAGAAAAAGGAAGGCCAAATGGTATACTGGGAAAAAATTCCTCCCTGTGAAGATGGGGATGCCCTGGCACAGGGTTGCCCAGAGCAGCTGTGGCTGTCCCTGGGCCCCTGGAAGTGCCCAAGGCCAGACTGGATGGGGCTTGGAGCAGCTTGGGATAGTGGAAGGTGTCCCTGCCCATGGCAGGGATGGAATGGGATGATCTTTAAGGTCCCTTCCAACACAAACCATTCCATGATTCTCAGTCTTCCCAGCTTCTCTAGATCCCACCTCTTCTCTTCAGCTTGAGAAGCGATGCAGTCAGATTAAATCCATCACTTCATTTCAACACCCAGAATCCAATTAAGCATCATTTTAAAAACCATAATAAAAAAGGTGCAGGAAGGTTGGGGCAGTGCGAGGAACACCAGTACCTTTGTGCAGGCTCTCCAGGGGCTCCAGGACCCCCCTGCGGAAGGAGGCCATGGGGTCCTGCACGCAGGAGCGGAGGCTGAGCAGGCTCTGCAGGTGCGGCTCGCGCAGCAGCTGCTCCCGGTACGCCACGAACTGCGGCGAGCGGCAGAGCAGGGCGGCCACGTTGTGCACAAACTCGGGCACCAGGCAGGTGTAGGCGTTGTCAGCCTGGCAGTAGTGGTAAGCTACGACCTAGCAAAGAGAAAAGAGTGAAAAACTCCGTGTTGGGACAGCTGTAAAAGCAGGGGTTTTTCCTTTGGTGATTTTGATCTGTTCTGGCACGTGAAGTCTCTAAGAGCAATGAATGTTAACTACCTACGACAAGAATGCAGTCAAGTAAGTTGGTAAAAACAGGCACTGATCCTGAAAAATGACTGGACCTCCCATTTGAGGAATAAATGAAATTAAGCCGTAGCTGTTTGCAGAGACAGACAGTGACAGTGGTTGATGTCTCTGAAGTGCTGTGCTGAGCTTGGATTGTGGTATGAGTTCTGTTTAAGGACTTGGTGCCAGTAAAAACTTGTGATTGTTTTCTTGAACTTATTCTTTACTTTCTTTGTTTTCATATGATAAGTTCTGTGGAAGTGGACAGACAGCACTCCCTGAGTCCATCACAACGAGGCAGCACTGTGGGTACAGATTCCCCTGAGCTGGAGGCGATGGCAGGCTCACTGTACTCTACTCATACATTGTGATCCCACGCTTCATTAAAAAAATAATTTCAATTAAAAAAAAAAAAAAAAAAAAAAAAAAAAAAAAAAAAAAAAAAAAAAAAAAAAGGAAAAAAAAAAGGTTCCCCTTTCCCCAGCTTTTCCCTGAATTTCCAGCTCAGCAAACTCTGCTAGAACCCTGCTACATTCTGCCCACCTATTAAAATAAGCAAAAAACCAGTGATATCTTCTTAGGCCATGCTGCCAACTTTCTTGTTTTCTTTTGCAATATAAAAAAGGCCCTCAAAAATTTGTCTCTGCTTGTGAATCCCCTCGGAAGCTGCTCTGGCACCACTCCAGCCCAGCTCCCTTGCTGCCTCCATCCTCAGGCACTGCCTGCCCATTTTGAATGAACCTCTGCCAGGGCACAAAGCTTTTCTCCAGCTCCCATTCTGGACTGGGTTTTCTTTTCAAATATCACTGAATATCCAAAAATATCCCAGCAAGGCAGGTGGGAGCAGTTCTGTACCAAAACCATCACTGCCCTGGAGCACTGTAGCACAGAATGTTGCAAAATAAATTGCATTTTTGAACTTGGGAAGGACAATATAGCTGAGGACACTGTGAAAAGTAAAGCTCCTCTGAAGCTCAGGGCAGCTGGGATGAAATGTGCCCATGGCTTTGGACATGAAGAAGGCTTTCTGTCTCTCCACCTGCAAACCCCATCCCTTCGATTGCAGGAGGCTCCAGGGTGGCTAGGGCGGTGAAGGATGGTACCAAGGAATGAACACATCAGGCTGTGGGGTCCTCACCCATTGCTCGTTCAGCACTGGCTTTTAATTTTCAATATGAAATTACCCATGGGATATAATGTAGTAATCTCCTTTCCAGTCAAAACAAGGTGTGACACATGCAGCGATGAGAAAGCTGGGCTGTTATTTCAAGCAACAAGCTCTAATACATGTATTTAAGTTTTAATGGATACCTCCAAATTCCTTACAGATTTTTTCCTAACAGACAGTCAAAATATAATGAATTCCCTTAGAGAACAGCACTATGTAAAGTAATTATAGAGGTAATGATTTCTTTTCATCAATCCTATTTATTTGGGGATTATAACTTGTGCATTTCACAGAATGAAGTTTGCAAGTTGCCATTCCTTGATATCAGGTTCCACTAACAGAAATTACTCTGATTTCCTATTAAGTTTGTGCATAGACACAAAAATAAAGTCTCTTTTAATGAGATGCCAATTAATTGATTCCAGGAATCTGAAGAGTCACATCATGGAAAAAGGGCCATGTGTCATCATCTTCACCACTGGATTTCAGGACACACATGCAATTACAACCCAATTAATTTCAGCCACTTCCCATGCATTGCAGCTGGACTTCATGATCTTAAGAGGTCTTTTCAAACCTTAGCAATTATAGGATTCCGTGATTCCTGATCCCTGTGCTTGATTTACTGGTGTATGAAATAAGCCTTATAACCATAGGATAAACATGCTTAATGGGTGGATCTGAAGCTAAAGCAATAAGCAAAGGAAGATTCTGGGAAGTCGACCAAAGCAAAGGCAGAATGACGTTCTTAGAAAATGCAACCTGAGCCAGAATTTCATCTTGATGTTATTTATTTTCTGTGACATTTTCTCTATCTTCAAATCACAGAGGGGCTGCCAAAAGCCAGTGCTGCAAGTGCAGCCTGGTGTTGGAGATCGGGCTGAGAATCAGGCTCCTCACTTACATGGAGCTGGATGGGAAGCAGTTTTCTCACATGGTAAAACTTTACAAGGTTTCTAATCCTGTTCCACCCTTGGGAATGAGACCAGGTTAATGTGAGAAGTGAGTGTAAAACCCTCCAGGATGGCCAGGGAGTGGTGTGGATGGGACTCACCCCAAACAGGTTCAAAGTGTTCTTTCTACCCTGTATTTGTTGAATGGCAGCAATGCTCTGGGAAAGGTCCCTTTCCAATTATTTCACCTTAAATACTTCACTAATTCTTCAAGGTTAATTTCTTCAGGGAGAGGGATGGATTACCAGCTTCACTGCTAAGGATTCTCTTCTATGATATGTGAGACCACATGCAGACTTTGCTCAGCCATCTGAAATGACCACTCGCTGTTCTAGTCATCATTCTGAGGTGATTTTGGTCTCTCCTCCTTTTTGTTGACTAGATAAGCAAAAAAAACCCCAAACATAAAAACCCCTTGTATACCCTGGAAATTAACTTTTCACTGGAAAAGGTGTGCCCTCTCTCAATAAAAGCATCATTTTCAACAGATCTAACTATTCTGCCTCAAAATAATGTTTGAACAAGTTCCAACTAAGCCTTAATACAAACAAATCCTTGAGTTAAAAATTTAATTTTATCTAGAAACTACTACAAAAAATGAAATCACCAGTGAACATCATGTGGTTCCAAAAGTATGGGCATGCCTGGATGTTGTGTCAGCAAACTGTTGTGTCTGATACAATTTAAGACATAATTTTTCTAACCATAGTTTCAATTTTAACTTAGTCATCCCGTTGCACTAAATGCTATAAACACTAAATTAGACTTCCAAAACTTTTAAACCTTTATTTCAGCTATCAGGTTTGCTAAATTATTTCCTTGTTTTAAAGTTTGACTAAATTCAAATCACTGGATTGAAAAGCACACAAGGTCTATATCAGCAACCCTAAAGCAAGAAGTGGGTTACAACAAAGGATGGGAAAAGTAACACGTTTATCCAGTTCAGTGCTCAAAGTACCTGCTCATTTACCCTGAAATGACATAAACTTCATCTTTGTCACGGCCAAAGCAAAATGACAAAGACATTATTTGTATTCCCTCTAGGTGTTTAACCCAGTAGGTCTTCAGGAGTCTCTTCTCCCAACCCTTCCAACACCAGTCATTCTTACTCTCCCTTTTTGCCACAGTCTCTTCCCAATTCTGCCTTCATTCAGCCTCATGTAACCTCTATCTCCTGCTGTCCAAGAGAAACAGTTGCAGGATGAAGGATGTTAACAGCAAAACAGCTGTTCTGAGGATAATGGAAAATGCGGGTGGATGAGCGGGCACAAGCCACATGAATGGAGCAAGAGGACGAGGGTGAGAGGCCAAAGGAGAGAGAAAAAATGAGACACAAAAGAGATCGTGTATCAGTCACCAAGTGCAGAGGGTGAGAAGGGACTGAACTGTGAAGGAGGAAAAGAAAAGAAAGAGAAGGGGAACAAGTGACATGGAGGAGAGGGAGAAGATGACAGTAACAGGAAAGGCTGGAAGGACAGCATGAAGATCAAAGGAGAGGGAGGTCTGGAGATGTCTCAAGGGAAATAAGTTATTTTTAATTATTAGCACAGGCCACTTTTATGCAATTCTCCAGCAATGCTTCTGAAACAAAATCTACTCCATTCAGGCAGCATTCCTTTGCCATCACACTTCCTCTGTAGTTTGTCTTGGCTTCCTTCTGGAAGCCTGTCGTGCAAGGACAGCCAGTCCCCCTTGGACAAACCTCCCAGACCCCTGAGCTCACAGCAACACCCCACTCACTCCCTCCAGTGCTCTTAAAGGGCTTCAGCACTGTATTTTAACCTTTAACAAGATTTTTTTTTTTGACCCATACAAAATAGCTTCAAATAAATGCACTGTAACACTGACCTGCCACTGTGCCACATGCCAGACACAATGCTGGCTGTGACAATGGAAATGGCCATTAGCGCTGCATGTGACTGTGACCTAGTATGTGGCATGTGGTGACCCAGTTTATTAGGAATGTTCATTACCTCTACATAGCTGAGTATGCTGGTAAATGCTTTCTGAAACTCATTAGTGGCCCAGGGCATCAAAGCTCAGCAGTAATGAATCCCTCCACCTCTGTGTAAGGTGGGAGCACTCTCTTTTTATATGCCTGCAGCAATGTTAGTGATGCTTTGGATATGGCTTGGAGGATGGGGAGAAGAAGAGCCTCTGGAGACACCAGCTGCGTTCAGCATCAGAAAAATGAACTAATGCAATGGATGTGCAGCTCCTCCACTAGCTGCTCTGCACAGGGTACAACCCATTAGTGCAGTTGAGCTGGGTTTCAGGTCCATTTGTTTAAGTGCTGCAACCACAAGCCACCACACAGCATCCAGAAACCTGAAGAAAAAAGCTGTTCAATGGGTTAGTTAAAACTGGGTAGCCAGTCCATTAAAAATTCTCTGTGAGTAAAGGATAAACCTTCAGGGAAAAGGAGAGGTCAGCACGGCAGGACTGAGTCGAGCTCCTGCTTGCCAGTCAGCTGTTACTTATTTCTAAAATTGATGATTTGTTCATCTCTGACATAAGAGCTAAATGCAAACTTTCCCCCCAAGAATTTACTATACAAAAACCAGGCATAAGAGTACAACCCTGAGTAATCCAGAGGAGGAAAAACAACTGTTTGCTCACATTTCATTTCTGTCATCATAGGCACACAAACTTCTGAATATTGGGATAAGTGACATTTTCAGAGGGAAGGGGAGTGGGTGAGAGGACAATGAGCTTCCCACCAGCATTCAGGAGCCTGCACCAGCCATTACCAAAGACTGTTTGTATATTATTAATCTGCTTTTGTAACGATCTGCATTTCTCCAGCACAGGGACCTCAAGCCCATCTGAGAACATTCTGCTCTGCTCACTGTAGGCAGAGGTGGAACATCTGCACACAGCTTTATCCAGCTCCCCACATATGGTTCATTTAACTCCTAAAATAACCCTGACAATTGTGGTTGTCCATCACTGTCAACACTTTCTTCTGTGCTTCAATTCTGACTTCAGTGTAAACACAACTAAAAAAACCACGCATCCAAGAAATACTTTTCCGTCCAGATAGACTGAAGGACCTTAAAACCCTTCCTAAATAGTCTGCAGCCAAGGTACAACAACCTATTTTTACTTTAATTTTGGCTGTAAAGATTGTTTTTAGCTCTTTCTCCAGTGATCAGAGATGCCAAAAAAGCTTCAGTGAGCAATCTATGCCGTGGATGTGACACAGTGTTTGAAAGAGCCATATTCCTTACCTTTTCCAGGAGGAAACTGAAGCTACACAGCATCCATGTATCAATTACATACTCAGCAGGATGACTTAAGCATTCAGGGGAAGTGATAGATGAGGTATTTTAAGCAGAGCTAGCACACTTTACTGCCCTTTCTGGTAGTCTGCAGAGCTTCAGATTTGCAAGGAATACAATGACTAATGCAACCTGAACAAAACCAGACTTAGGCATTGCATTCCTTTCAAGAACTCCATGTGGAAGAGGAGAGTATCAAACCTTAGTATTTGTTTATGCAGCACATGCTACTGGTCTGGCCATCTGCGTGCAGCAGGAAAGCAGACAGGACAAGACAGTATCTGGCATAAAAAGCCAAGCAAAACACGTCCTAGTAATAACTTAGAACAGAGACTTTTCTTGCTATTTTTCTTCCTGAAGTAGGAGCAGGTGACAGGAAAGCATTACCTGCTCCAATCCTCCCAAAAGGTGGAGGAGGAGCAAGAGCAAATTCCTTGGATTCCAAAGCAACAGAATGGTACCTTCCCACCACAGAATTAGGGTTAAATCTCAGTAATACAAACAAATTCAAACTGTAAATCTTATGTACATAAGTGACAGTGTTCCATATGTTCCATACAAACCATTCCTGCCAAAACAGCAAGTAATTTGTGTATTGTTCCAAAGGCTATGGTCTACTTCAGAGAATTTTCCATAAGATTCCCAAGTGCACACACAGCATTAACACTCAGCTTGTGCCTTCCCCAAGTACAGTACCTGCCCTTTTCAAAGAAAACACTGCTCAAGTACTGGGCAATTTTGTTCTCAGTGCTGAAGAAAAACCACAATAATTTCAATAATTGTGTCACATCCTAACATTTGTGATGAGAAAGTAGGGTGCCTGTGAAAGACAAACCCTCAGAGTAACAGGGAAGGCAGAGGGAGTTTCATTTTAGAGAAATAACTTTCCTGGGTACTAAAACTCCTTCCAGAAGTCTCTCTCGGGGCTCCCCAAGTGAGCACTTGAACACACGGATTGTTCCAAGTGACATCCAGCAGAAGGAGTCCCCTAAAGCTGCCCTTCCCCAGGAGCGGCGGCCCGGGCTGGTGTTCCGTACCTGCGAGGCCAATCTCCGCATGGCCTCCTCCTGGCGCCGGCGCATCTCGGGTGTGCCCGGGCAGCTCCCGCTGGCGATGGACGCGTGCGCCGACGGCGGCTGCGCCAGGGGCAGCTCTCGGCTGGCATCCACATCTGCCCAAGGAAAGAGGTTAGGACAAGCACGAACATTATTATTAAAAACCGGGCAGCTGCTGGTTCCTACGCGTGGCAGTTAAAATGCTTCCCGTAAATACTCTGGTTGGGATTTCAGGGATTTCCAGGCCAGAGGTTTCTCAAGAAACTTCTTTTGGAAGCAGAAAAGGACCACTAATAAAAAGCCTTGAGCTTGTCTTATTCATCTTCCCCACTTTAATTTCACTGACTTCAAAATAATGACAATAATGGAGTGAACTGGGCCCTCTGGCAGGCTCTGCCTTCAGGTTTGGTGGATTTGAGTGCAGAACTCTCCTGCTCTCTATTTCTGCCAACAGACCTTCCCTTGTTATGAACAATCACTGGTTAATTTGGTTCCAAGTCCTCCTTCAGCACAGACAGCCAATTTTTCTGAATTACAGGCCTATTTTCTAACATAAATAAACCAAGAGCCCCAGCTAATACAGCCATCTGAAGCCCATTAATTTAATCAGGGGGAGAGGAGCAGGAGCAGCACAAGGATCTGGAAAAGGCTTGCAAGCAAATAATAAATTATCCTGGAGTAATCTCTGGCAAGTTTAACTGTGTCCTAGTGCATTTTAGTTGCTTTTTATGCCTGGAAAAGCAGAAATTTGCTTTACCAGTGGATTGCTACAGAAGCTCATCCACCTGGCCTTTGTGGATAACATTCCCAAACTATTTTTATTTTCATTCCAAAGTACTCATATGGATGGTTTTTGAATGACACCACAAAATGCAGCACTTGATGATGTCCAATTATTATTTTAAGAACCAACACCACTCTGAAGTGCAGTCTGTGCGGGCAGAGGATTCTTCTGACTGGATTGCTGCAGTGCATCCCTGAGCTTGACTGGAAATAATCATGCAAACAATGACCCATTTAATGGCAAATAACAGAGGAGAATGACTGCTGCCTCCATAATTAAACCCTGAATGTGTTAGAATGAGGCATGTTCTTGATTCTGAGCACAACATCACTGTCACCTGTATTAATTTTCTGAGAGAGGAACTGGAAGTATGAGGCTGTACTGAAGCCAGTTTAATTAGCTGATTGCATAACTGCCGTAGCAGAGTGAGACCACCTGATTAGCATGTATTAATTAGCATAGATTTAATAAGCATAATAGATTTTTTTTTCAGCATGTGGAAAAAAAAATTACAAAGAAACTCATCACAAAATCAGAGATAAATATCCTGAACTGGAAGGGACTCACAAGGATCTTGCAGAGTAATTATTATCTTCTATAGCTAGACTTGTGATCTCTTTAGGAAATCAAGTCTAATTAATTACTGATTCTGAAGGTTACCATCCTAATAACTCACACTGAAGACTCATTCAGCTTTCAACTCCATGGACACACCAGAGTGAACTAAACAATGTGTTAGGTGGGACCAAGGATCTTCATCATCTGTGGACACCCCATGTGATAAATCCAGCTTTTAGTTCAGAAGGAGTTTAGCACAGCTGTATCTTTTATGTCCACCATCATCCAAAGGAGACCGGGGACACACAGTCGCAGCTGGTGCACTGCAGAGCTCCAGTTAAAATACAGAAACAAGCCCTGCCTTTCACTACACAGTTTATTTAGCTCTGACAAGTGGCACTGTTCAACATGCCAATCCCAGTGACATTTCAGCGCTTGTGATAGGGCAAGAGCACAGCATTTCCAGTAAACAGATTTAACTATAGCTTCACTGAGGTACAGTGACCTACATCCTTATAGATACCTTCAGGTACCCAACTCAGTATTTTTAGTCCTGTCTTAGTCACTCACTGAAAGCTGAGTGATTTTAAAATGTTGTCATCTCTACCTGCAAACCTGCCATTGGACGGGACCACAGGAGGTAGAGCAATCTTGGGTCCTGAGCCTACAGGGGCTTGTGACCTGCATGGAATATTTACACCATGATTCAATGAGATAAACATTCCATATGGGAAGAAGAAAGCATTGGCAAAGATTCATAATCATAGAATACTTGCTGCCTGATCCGGCTGGAGATGTCATAAGCAGGGGGATTGGACTACATGACCTTTAAAGGTCCCTTCAAACCCAAATCATTCTGTGATTCTAAAATTGGAGTCTTCCCAGCCAGAGAAAGTCTGTGATGTTTCTAAGCCAGACAAGCAGAGACAGACTACTCTGACTCTTCAAAAGCAGCTCTGGAACAGGAGCAGTATAAAGCTGCCTGTAGCAGTACCTAGAGGGACTCCAAGAGAGATGAAGAGGGACTTTACACAAGGGCATGGAGGGATAGGACAAGATGGAATGGCCTCAAGTTCAAAGAAGGCAGATTTAGATTAGGAAGAATTTAGATTAGGTATTAGGAATAAATTGCTCCCTGTGAGGGTGGGGAGACCCTGGCACAAGCTGTCCAGGGAAGCTGTGGCTGCCCCATCTCTGGAAGTAACCAAGGCCAGGTTGGATGAGGCTTGGAGAAACCTGGGATAGTAGAAGGTGCCTCTGCCTGTGGCAGGGAGTTGGAACGAGATAATCTTTAAAGTCCTTTCCAACCCAAATCATTCAGGGCTTCTATGACATATTTCTCAAAGGTCCTTCCTTTTCCTGACAACAAAGACTAAGCTGATTCCTTGGGCCTGAAGAGAAATGGGGTTATTTCAGCCAAGACCACTCTAAAAGCTGACGTAAAAGCTCTGAGTTTTGGAGACCCATGTGCTGCTGTCCTTACGTTTTGGAGAGGCGTGGGGGCTATCTGAAGCAATCTGCCTCATCCTCGTGCCGTGGCAGCTGAGCGCGACCAGCCTGGAGATGATGGCGGTTTTGCCAAAGCCGATGTTCCCGACGATCACCACGCCGCGGTTGACGCTGGCGTTGGAGCTCTGCAGCTGCGCATCGATCTCGTGGAACACCCAGTCCCGGCCCACGAACACGGACTCGGTGGTGATGCTGGGCACCTCGAAGAGCAGCGGCTTCAGGGAGATGTCAGGGGGTCTGTAGGGCGCGAAGCGCACTGGAAAGGGAGACACGGGAAGAACATCAACGTCCACGCCAGATGGGAAAGCAGAGTTTGGAAACGGATGTTTATCTCACACAGAAATCCTTCCATTACAAAAGGTGAAAACACAATTCTGCATCACCCACAGGTTTGTTGTGAAAGCATCTGTCTCATTCACAGTATTTTCCATCAAAGGCATTGAGGATTTTACAGGGAGTAGCCTACAGCTGGGGAAAAATTGTGGCTGGAAAAATTAATTTTCTTCTTAAATCCACCACCTCTGAAGGACCTTGTCAGAAGGTGCACTCTGCACAGCACCTCCTGGGAGACAGGACTGATGGCTGAACAAAGAGACACACAATGCATGCTCACCTCTTCAATCCAATGCGCCCACAACAATCTCAGCACCTACAAGTGTTAATTCAATCTAAACAAAGTTATTTCAATTCTTCTGGAGTAACCAAATTAAGCCAGACTGTTGACAGGATATTCATGTTTGGCAATTAAAACATCTCTTTTCACAATGAAAAATGATGCTTTAAAGCACTATAAAGTTATCAAGAAGAGCAAGAAATATCTCCTCAACAGACCATGTGTTCTGGTGCTGAAGAAATACTGTACAACTTCTGTAGAGCCCAAGCAACAAATTAAAATACTGAACTGAAACACTTCCTACCATATGCAACTGGGCTCTTCCCTGTTATTGAAAACTTCAATTCAAGCAACCCAGATCTGGGTGTATTATGTTAAACGAAACAAATGTCTGAGTTTATTTCCTTCACTTGCTTTAGACTGCAACTTTTGGATAATAGGGAAAATTTCTTCACTTAAAGGGCTGTTCAGCCCTGGCACAGGCTGCCCAGGGCAGTGGTGGAATCCCCATCCCTGGAGGGATTTAAAAGGATGTGGCACTTGTAGACATGGCTCAGTGGTGGCCTTAAGCAATGCTGGGGGAATGGTTTGATTTAATGAACTTACTGGATGCATTTCAAACCTTTATGATTCTGTGATTCTTTCAAGTGTCATCTTAAACATCTACATTCACTGGGATGAAAGCAGTTCCTTTTTTTCCGCAGCCTCTGTGCCTAAAAAAGGCTAAACTACTTTTTAGTGTTTCCAAGAAGCACATGAATCTCTCTTACCCACAAGACAACAGTATTAAACACATACTGTGAGGAAAATCCCTTGAACATTACAAAAACAACTTAAGGAAAGCATACAACTGCCATATTACATACACAGATACACAATATACTGGGTGAGTTGGAACTATCCTCTCCTCCATCCCAAACCTCACCCAAAAATCTTGGTTCTTCCCATCCTGCAGCACTGGTGATATTTGCTTTCTGGAGAAGAAAACCCACAGCACATCACAGCCATCAGCTTGTGCCTTGGGTTACAGCAACCTGAAAAGCCTCAAATCCCCAGGGATGAAAATGGGAAAAGCAAAAATTGCCTTCCCCATCCTATTAAAAAGCTGTCACTGGGATGAATCCTTGTCACACTCTTAGTGTTGAGATTCTTCTATTGCTCCCCTTCTTAAAATAATTGGTTTAACAAAAAATAGCAGAGACAATCTCCCATTTAGTCTCTCTCACTGGGATTTTGGAACAGTGGAAACAGACAGTGGGCTGTAATGTGTCCCCCAGTACAGGGCCATCAATGTCTTCACTATTTCAGCCTAGTGCCAAGACCAGGGATGTTAAAATTAAACACAAGTTTAGGATTTCCAGCTGGAACAAAGAGTTGCAGCTTGCAACAGCCCAGATTGATGCAATTTCACAGCAATAGCTGCAAAATGCAGCATTTCAGGGAAGGGCCTCCCATTGCATATGTAATGACATGATAATATTTCCAAATAGTGATGCTTTGCGCAGCACCTCAGGTAAGATAAGCAACAAACTTTAAAAAATTGAAATACTGCTTCTATTCTCATGCAACTGTCACAAAAAGGAAAAAATAACAAACCAAAGCACAGAAAGAAAATATGTAGTGCTACAAGGGTTTCAAAAGTGTGTCTGGAAAATAATTTGATTCTGTTTCTACAATAAAGTTGAATGTTTTGGATGCAATCACTGCAAATTACACAGCCTTGGCAAGCTGCTGCTTCTGAACATATGGAAATTTGGTCTGTCAAACTTTGCTTTCTTCACTTACTGCCTGCTAATGCACTTCTAGACCTGCCTCAACAGCCAGGAGGATTTCACTGCAGACTGCCATCCAAAGCCCACAAACCCACTCTTTGGGGGGCTCCTGTGTTTGGTATGAAGTCCAGCCAGGCTATACCAGGTCAAGCATGTTGGGTGAAAACCCAGACTGAGCCTTCCAGCTCCTCAGTTCCTCACTCTAAGATGGTGGGCACAAAAAAAAAAAACCCTAGAGAACAGGAAAGTTTCAGGTATGGCCAGAAGAAACCTTTCTTTGCGCAGGGGAGAACAAACCAGTCTCACAGCACAGAAACCTGAAAATATCCCAAATGAGCTTTCTCGGCCACTTACTTATCTCTGCAACAAAAAGTGATGGGGCTGAGGCATTAGCCCGGTGATCTGCTGCAGACTCAGGATTTTCACAGTGACAGCTTAAGCACATGGTGGAAGACTGAGATCAGATTAAAAGAGGGATGTAAGTTGAAGGGTGGGCTGAAATCCCAAGGAGATGGAGCAAATCGAGGTAGAGCTGCCTGAGAATAATAAGCAAAACACTAAAATGTCAGCCCTGGCTCCTCTTCTCATTGCTAACATCTTGTTTGTGGAATTTGCCTCAAAGAACCACAAAAATTTCCCCTCCAAAAGGCTTTTTAGAACTCAAAAAGCTGTCTGAATACGGGCATTATGAGCAACCCTACAAGCAGCAGCTGAGCTGGTGGCCTCATCACTGCACTGGGCTCCTTCCCCACTGGCACACTGCAGAATGCAAGGGGGAACTGCAATCTCTGGCCTTGATTGAAAAAAATGAGACAAAACAGTAGTAGTCCGTAAAATTTCTCATTTTTAATAACGTATCAAATTATTAAGCCCAAGGAGACCAGCTGAGAGTTGGGGGTATTCATCCTGGAGAAGAGACAAGAGGAGGTTCTGGGATGACCTTATTTCAGCCCTTCAGTGCCTAAAGACACTCCAAAAGAGCAGGAGAGGGACTTTGGACAAGCGCCTGAAAGAACAGGACAGAGGGCAGGGCTGGATGAGCTATTAGGAAGGAATTGCTCCCTGTGAGGGTGGTAAGGCCCTGGCACAGTGTCATGGTTTGACATGGTGCCCAGAGCGGCTGTGGCTGCCCCTGGATCCCTGGCAGTGGCCAGGGCCAGGCTGGACAGGGCTGGGAGCAGCCTGGGCCAGTGGAAGGTGTCCTGCCACGGCAGGGGTGGGAATGGATGAGCTTTGAAGTCCTTTTCAACCCAAACCATTCTGAGATTCTGGTTTTCACATGGACATGGATGAATTGGCTGCTGCCTGAGTTCCCCACACGGACACCCCAGGACGGGGAAGCCCCAAGGGCCTCGCGGCGCTCCTACCTCGCAGGTCCTGCTGTGCCCGGGCGCTGGCCACGCTCTGCCGCGGCATCCGCAGCGACGTGCGCAGGGGAGTGTGTCTCTGCTCGTCCAGGTAAGCCAGATCTTCCAGGTGGGCTGAGCTGGTGGCTGCCACAAGAAAGCAAAGAAGAACATCACACCTGGCTTTTGGATCTCATGCTCTGCTTACTGCAGTTTTCTGTTTTTAATGAAAATATATGGAGATGCAACTACCATGAGACAACAGAGCTGATTTGAAACAAGTACCATTTCCCCTAGGAAGAAGTAAAGTGTTTTGGTAACTTTTTCTCATGCTTCACTGGTATTTGCTCTGGTCTGGTCTCCTGTTGGTGTTCCCAAATAAAAGAAGATACCTTCCACTACTCCAGGGTGCTCCAAGCCCTCTGCAACCCAGCCTTGGACACTTCCAGGGAACCAGGGGCAGCCACAGCTTCTCTGGGCAACCTGTGCCAGGGCCTCACTCCCCGCTCGGGGAACAATGCGTTGTAAGAACTGCTCCCAGTTGTAAACTGCTCATTGACAGCAGGGACACAATACATTCACTGACTGTACTTTGTAGGCTGCTATAAAAATGGGTATTTTTGTGCTGTTTTGGACGATATTTGGGGAGAAGCTTAAAAAAAAAATAAAAAGAAAAAAAGAAGAAGAAAAAAAAAGCCAGCAGGTGTAAAAAAAAAAAAAAAAAGCTTCCCAAGAACAAAAAAAAAAAAAAAACAACCGTATTTGGAAAAAAAAAAAAAAAA